GTATCCTGCTTATTGTACAGCAGATAAGAACTTTTCAGAGCAGTTCTTAGCTCTGTTAGAGCTGAGATAATCATAGTATTTGTCGAAAAGCAATCACAGTTTGATAGATATTTTAGTTTATTCTGTTCGACGCTCTACTTTTGAATGTTCGATTTGTCAACAATATTATATAATAAGTCTTAACAATACTTGTAAGTCAATAGTAAATCTAGGATTTTGGAAGAGAAGAAGGCAATTATAGACAGAACACATTTTCTGGATTCATCCAAAATAGTGTAAACTCGTTTTTCGTTTCATTTTTACTTGGATATATCGAAAAAATTTCTTGAAGGTTCTTCGCTAAATCTTCCATTGTCCTAAATGATTCCTAAGAAAACTGAAAGGATTGTAAGTGTGAAGCACTATTTCCTTTTTTTTCGTCCTCTTATTAGCATTTGAATTTTTTTTTATTCTTCCCTAAATTGCTTTTGCTCCGTCATTACTTCTATGTATGATTTTTTAGATTAATTTTAATTTGAAAATAATTTTTTCATTTATTATTTTAGACTGACATTCTTTGCGGAGCAATGTGAAAAAACTGTACTTAAACGTCTTCTAAAAGAATTATGGAAAGCAGTAATTAGTGATTTAGAAAAAGTTATTGTTTTACCACCATTTGCTGATTCAAAAAATCTTTTAACAATTCCAGCAGCTAAAATTGAAGATGCTTATCGACTATTATCAGGGGTTTATTGTTTTTTTTATTATTTAATCAAAGTAATATATAAGTCTTGTATTCAAATAGGAATTAGGTCGAGATAATGATCGAAGTTTGACTCAAAAACAATGTCAAATATTAGATCGTGGTTTAGAAGATTTAAAAGAATTTTTTCATGCATCTGGACAAGGTCTAAAGAAAAATTATTTAGAAAAAACTTTAGAATTACAATCACTTAAATATGCCCTTTCATTATATACACAAACAACTGATTCATTAATTAAAACATTTGTTAAAACTGAAAAAGAACAAGGTAACACATTAATATTATTCTTTATCAATTTATTAAATTGTTTTTTTTTTTTTTTTTTTTAAATTCAAGATCGTCCAGCATTTGAAGAATCTTTTGGTGAAGTATCAATTCAAGTTGATTTATTTACACATCCCGGTACTGGTGAACATAAAGTTACTGTAAAAGGTATTTAAAATAAACAAAAGAAATGAAAAAGGAAAATTTCATTTATTATTTTTATAATTTAGTTGTGGCTGCCAATGGTCTTAAATGGCGTACAACTGGAATGTTTCGTCCTTATGTTGAATTAGCTATATGTGGTCCTCATTTACATGATAAAAAACGAAAACATTCAACTAAAACAAAGAGTAATACATGGATACCAAAATATAATGAAACATTTCATTTGTTAGTTTTTTATTTTTGTTGTGAATAAATAAAAAATAAAATAAAATTTTTTCATTCTTGTTTTAGTCTATTGGGTAATGAAGAAGAACCTGATTGTTATGAATTGAATATTGCAGTAAAAGATTATTCATTTATGCGTGAAGATCGTATAATTGGATTAAATGTTATTAAATTAACACAAGTTTGTGAACAAGGTTCATGGTCATCATGGATTCCACTTGGTTCTCGTATTAATTTTGATGATACTGGTTTAACTATATTAAGAATATTATCACATAGAACTAATGATGAATTAGCTAAAGAATTTGTTGCACTTAAATCAGCAAGGAGACATAAAGAAGATGTGTGATCGAAATTTTATCTTTTCTTTTGTGTAAAGCTATTTTCAATATATCTCTCTGTGTATTTTCAACGTCTGTGGTCTCTCTCTCTCTCTCTCTCTTTTTTTTTTACAGTGCTATTCCCTAAAAACAAACTGTTTTTTTTTTCTCTTTTTGTTGTTTATTCTTATTTTTCGCATATTTTTTTTTGCATTATGTTATAAACAAGGAATAAATCTGGATAATATAACCTATGAATGATCGAAAAATTAACTTCCATGGTAATTTAAAAAAAGTGATAGATTTTCAATTATTTACATAAAATCATACATTGATTTATATTTGTGATGCATTGTCGAATAAATATTCGATAGAGAATATTAACTTTCTTGAAAAGAATAATTATTAGACAATGTTTATTGATAATATAATTAATCTTTTTTTGTATCCAATGAGAATTTCGATACTTTTTTTGATTGGTTTTACATATTGTTACGCTTTATGTTAATATTGATGCTCTTAAATAATCTTTTATAAATATTTTCTTTTCTTTTATCCATAGTTCAATACTAAACAACAAAACACATGGAAGTACGATTGCTTATTTTTTCGTCAATAAAATTTGTAAGTTACTTTGAGTTCTATCCAATTCTTTGAAATTCTGTTTAAAGTTTTTCAAATTTTCGAAATTGGCAATGTTTATAATAGTGCCATAGTTTTTATTTTTAACACTCACGATTTATCAAAGAAAAGTTGTATTCTTTCAATTGATTAGCTGTAATGTTGATATTATTGTAGGGATATAACTGTCGGTCATGTCAATAAAATATAACGAGAAGTATCGATATTCATACTAGTAAAACATTCATATTAAATAATAATGGCGAATGGCGTTGGTTTAAGTTTGCAGATGGTCATCATCATGATTCTTTCCTTTTGATAGAATCAATTACATCGCGGACAGTCAATGATGAAAAACGTCATGACATTATTGAACTTTATATTCATGATTATTCGATTCAGATTAGAATTAGATGATCATTATAGGCTTGCATTACTTATACAACCTAATAGTTCTTTTCTTATTTTTTATGCAAATCATGACATAAAACTATATAATTATTCAAACATATCTCTTTTTATTGAAAAAAAAAAACGTTTTGTCAATTCAATCTAATCCAAATTTATACACCATCACCAATTACCCAGTTCATATATTGAAATTAATTTCTTCTTCCAAATGAATCGAACCGAATTTATAACTTGTCTTTTGTGAGGTCTTTATCGTTCCTACAAACTATCATATATTTAACCCAATGATCTTGAAACAACTTGCCATAATGATAATGTTTATATAAAGGTTTCATCAACACAAAAACATCATTGCAAGATGTACTTGATTCATCTAATCAAGATATAAACATTTTTCGTTGTGATGCATAACGCGTTGCATAGATTGTTGATCTTGTTTTAGATTATCCAATATGTGCTTACAGTCTCCAATACGATTCAACAAGTCTTCTTGTAGGTCAGGGTGTTGACGATTTAGGATATTGTTATGTACGATCGAACGATTCTATTTGGCATAATTATTCATTTGTCTATGCTAGCAACAAATGATTAATAATGGTTTGACAATGATTGAGCATAATAATCTATCCATTCTATAGTATGTGTATGCCGACATACAGTAAACCAATGACAAGACATCCACACTTATCAGTCGTAACGATGAACAACAGCATTATAAAATTTTTTCAGTAACAAAAATGTCTGCGAACAAATATGAAAAGCACTGATTAGTGATTCAACTGTAGATAATTTATGATCTATGCGACCGTGATGTACAGAAAAAACGAATTCGAATCGATATCATTCATAAGTATGACTAAGACGCAAATGTCTTGCTTATACAGATTATTTACAATAGTTTGTTGCACTTGTATGGGCAATGGCTGGCCAAGAAAAAAAAAAAAAAAAATAAGTAGCACAGTCAACTTCTTATCTCCATTAATTTAGAATTAAAATTCATACTTGACTGTTGATCATGATTATTATATTTACGTGACTTTTAAGAACCACGGTTTTTACTATTGAATATAATTTTGATGACATCTTTGAGTGAATTTAATGACGAGCTTTTTATTTATTTTCTCTCGTAAATAACTTTCTTACTATTTAAACCTTTGACGGCAAAGTTATTTTTAGAATAAAAAAGTTTTAAAATTCTATTTTTAAGATAATGTAATGTGAAACTTATCAGGAATCATAATACTTATACTTAAACTTAGTTTAACGATGCAATGCTATTACCAATAGTATCTATGTCACAACATGGCAAATATCGACAAGACTTGTTTTACTATATTTCGGCTTCGTCCTCTATTCAACTTTTGAAAGCATAAATTTTCGAGCTTCATCGTCAAAGAATTAATTAATTTTTGAAGCAACGGTATATTAAAATAAATTATTGAGTAGGCATCGATATCTAACACATCCTAATTAGATCGGATAAGAAAAATAATTCAAAAAAATGAATCCTCATCCCTATACTTTCTATTTGATTAATGTTATAAATATTACTGAAATTTATCATAAAATCTGAAAGAAAAATTCTGCCCAAGAAACTGCTGAATAAATTCTAGTGAATTTTTGGTCTAGAAACTAATCATTAATGAATATAAGCTTAATAAAAAAAAAAAAAAAAAAAGAACAACCAAAAGCACCAATATGACGAATAAGTGCTCTCATAGAATGTAATTCTATAAATAAAAGAACTCAACGCAAAAAAAAAACAACAAAGAAAAGAAAAAGAAAGAAAAGAAAAGTTATTTTTTAATATTTTTCTTCTCTACTCATTCTTTGTCCTTCTTTCATTTGCACTGAATAAAAAAAATTCTCTATGGGTTGTGGAGCATCAAATAATAATGTCGTTAAAACACCAACACGTGACGCTACTGTTGCCACAGCACTCACTACAAAAATGACAAATGCCAATGTTTCATACATCACTACTGGTATTCTATTTCATTTGAAATTCATCTTTGATATATGTTTGCTATCTTCTTTCGTTCATCTAGTTCCTACCACAAATGCAACTAAAATTCTTATTGCAAGTCATACCACTCAACAAAAGATTAGTGAACGATTGAGACAAGGTTTACTTGATCAAGGTTTATCATGCTATCTATTAAATGAAAACACACCACAATCATTAAATACTCGAGCTAAAATCATTCAATGGTGTGATGTATTTATCATTGTTATTAGTCGACTTTATCAAAGAACTTCATTCTGTCTGGAAGCTCTTAATTATGCTAAAGATATACATAAACCAATTATTTCCGTTTTGGCAGAGACTACTTTCAGACCGTATGGTGCATTGGGCGCAATATCGGCAAGTGCTATTCGATCGATTGTACTAAACAATGAGACTTCCTTTAAACATGCTGTGTCAGAAATTACTAATAGCGCTCGAAATGAAATGACAAATAAGGTAAATTCTACAAAAGTTATCGATCCATCAGAGGTAAAGATAATTGACCATAATTGTTTAAAATAATGATTATTTTGTTGTATCTAGATAAATGATAATCATACGATTTCTAGACTTCCTCAAGAGTCATCTACTTGTACTGTGCTCATTTGTACTACAGACGATGGTAATATTGTTGGTCAACTCGTCTATGAATCTCTTACAGCTACTCAATCATCTATTATTATTGAGAATTTATCAAAACCAAATGCTGCTTGTAGCGTAGCGAAATGCACTGTGTTTGTGCCAATTCTTACGCCTCAACTAGAACAAACGACTCTTAGTCGAGTAGCATTTGAACAAGCTCGTCTTCTTTACAAACCGATTATACCAGTAATAGCTATTAAAAAATGGCGTCCTGAAGGTTGGCTTGGATTGATTATTACAGGACGTGTCTTTTTTCGTATTTTCGATCAAGAAACTGCTTACAAACCTTTTTATGATAGTAATCGTATTACTGATTTACGCGTTGCAATAGAGGTATGTAAATTTATACACTTTTATAACAATGAATTGCCGTTCACAAAAATAAAATAATCATCTAGGTCAGAATCAGTTACGTATTTTGTCGATAAGATGACTATTTGTATGGGCTTCTAATCAGCCATCGATGTATGTCGAGCGGTTACAGTTCATATAGATCTGTAAAGAACTAGAGCGTAGAAGAACGCATTTCGTCCCTTTTGATTTTCATGGTGCAGTCTAAGAGTCACAAAAAAAGATCATGAGTTCTTGATTATTTTAATGCTAAACTCAAGGCATTTTGATTTAATTAAAGGTGTATGAACAAAGTTTACCTTGACGACATTGTGAATGGGCAGTTATAGTTATTGGCTTTTAGTCCATTATTCTTGAGACTCAATAATTATTAACATTTTTTCGATTGACATCTAACGGATTTCAAGCAGAATAATAATTACTTTATTGTTTAGTTACTTATATTTTTCTCTTTAAATAGCATTTTACAAGTTTAGAGCTTGGTTTTCATTGCTACAATGACTTTTCGACGGTATTCATTTTTTTTTACATGTTTTTGAGAGCGTTTCACGAGTGAAAATTTGATCAGAAAGAAAAGTCGCAGGAAAAGTTTACAACGTACGTAAGTTGACTTACTTGTTTGTGTTGGTTCTCAGTATGGCATTTGTCTTGAAGTGAAATGAATATTATTCTCCTTGAGAACTCGAATATCAGTTAAAAAAGCTAAAAGCTAAGCCTTACTAAAAATAGACTAAGGATTATTTTTTTATATAATCTACTCTTTTAGACCGTAAAAAGCAATTTATTATTGTAGCATTTGAATAACTCTATCGAATACGAAATGAACTAAGCGTGAAGAAACTTTCATTAACACAATAAATAAACGACAAATGAAATGCACATGGATATTTTAAACTTAATATCCAAACAAAGAACGCTTTGTATGCGGTCTAGTAGATTCAAAACATTATTTCAAGTGTATGATTCTATTATGAAAATGTATCCTCAATAAAAGTC